CACAAGTTGGAAGTTCACAGCAGCAGCACCAGGCTCTAGAAAAAGCAGCCCACAAAGCCTTACTCTCTCATACTACAATGCAGACTACGAGTAAATTTGCATAAAGGCAACAGCTTCTGGAGAGAAAAAGCTGTATGTAAGTCTAGCCAGCTAAAATTAATTGCCAGCAAGACACTCACACCCGTAACAGAGGTAACCACACCTACTTTTCATCAGAAAAAAAAAAATACCTAAGAAAGGCCAACAGATGCTCTTGAAGATCTGGCTGTTGAAAGATTTAATTCTGAGGCACAACACCAATGAGCTCATCTGAACAAAAGGAGCTCTTTTTCTGCCCGAATGCTACTTAGGCTGGGGGTATCACCTTGTGTGAAAGGATTTTTAACGGAGGTTTCCTTTAGATATGTTCTTACCGTGTAATCCACTTACCCTCTTTGTAACCGAGAATGACCCTGAACAAGGGCAGGGACCGGGTGGTGGAATCAGGTCTCTGCATCACTTCAGGTTTTGCTGCTGCTATTTGGTAGCTTTTTATGCTTGCAGAAGTTAACCCCAGAGAGTTTGTTAAAATACTAGATACAAGTAACTGCAAGCTTTAAGAATGTAAAACTTCACCCAGTGGAAAGATTATTCCATTTAGGCAGGCTAAACAACTGCAGGATGTACCAGCTGACACCAAAATGCCTCCTGCTACTTAGCAGATGATTCCACTGTCAATTTGATCAATTTACATTGTTAGTTTTTATCCAAAGTGTGTCTGAGTACAGTTGAAGTGTTTTCATTTTTACTCTGGACACAGGTAGCATTTCAGACAATTAGTAATTTAGAAAGCAATGAATCTCTACTCTGAAGACTGAGGTTCAGGCTTCTCGTTCTTGGTTGATCTTGAGACTATTTTCAGATGCATACAGTACAGCAGAGCTCTGTCGGTGTGCAGCAGACCCATCGTCACTGTGCTGTGCTCCCCAGCAGCTCCAAACTCAAATCACAGCATGGGAACAGAGCAGAGATTCTTCGTGGCTACCCAGTGAGTCATGGGAGCCAGCACTGGCAAGAGACTGGCTGCCGGCACAAACAAGTAGCTCAGAATGCATCAAATGAAAAGCAGTAAACAGTCAAGAGACTTTCTCATATTTACTATGACTTGCTACTGGGGGGGGGGGGAGGAGGCAGTGGGAAATCAGTACTCTGACTTTTGCAGCTCTATCTGCTAACAGAACCACGCATTCTTCTGTTAGCTCAGGGAAATGACAGGAAAATACAAAAATTGCCCTAATACAATGCATAACATGCTTCCACTTTAAACATTAACCAGCTACTATGATAAACACTGTCATTTATACTGATATTATCTAAGGAGTATCCCCTGGGGAGAATGCCCCACATAAATACAAGGTTTCTACACGTCCTTATCATACTCTGCCTGCTACAGAAGCCACCTTAGAAGGCCTGCTGCAAACTCAGTGCTCACTAATCCGCTTGCCCATTTTGTTAAACTTTATTTTAAGCTGAGTAACAAGGGCTTGACCCTCACAGATCATTCATTAGCTACAGGAAGTTCAGCTGCATCAAACTGTCTAAATTATCTTAAGATAACAATGGCAGTTTAGGTGTATGTAGAGGTTAAAATTATTAGGCTTCACTTAAAGCCTTCAGAAGAGAGACTTTTCCCTTTCCTTTAATATTTCCAGCAAACAAACTATGAAGTACCAGGAGAGAATACACAAAATGTGAACTCAGCTAAAGCAACTAAGTACTTACTGCTTCAGTACAGCATCTGTCACAAAGCTGGAGCTGACTGCAGAGCCTTGCAACTGACACTGCAGGCACTGCTGCTGCTTTCGTTCCATTGACTTTGGAAAGCTTCTCAGAAACGAGTGGGTTAAGTCTACCACAAAAAAAAAAAAAAAAAAAAGTACATGAAGTATACGGAGATTGACCCTATTTAATCACTTTCAAGATCTTAAGAGAGTGGTAGCTCTGGGAAGAGTACTAAGTTACTCTCTGGTTTGATACTGAGCGAAGTTTCGTCCCCGGTGGTGGTTCAATGGGGCCGAGCCAAGACCCGCAGTACTGGAGCTGGGCTGCTCAGCACTCTGCCACACAAAGGGTCCGCCAGCTTCTTCCAGTGGCTCAGATGACACTGGTCCAACAAAAGCCAAACTCCACAACACATTTGGTCATCCTTGTTTTAAACAGTTACTCAAATGTATAAGTGGTTCCTAAATCCATAACTACATTTGCTTCCAATTTAGTCTTAAATCTCCTCCTCTGTACTTATACTGCCATCTTTACTAATCCCTCCTGACAGTGAATAAGCTTGCTGCTAAAATATTTGTCAGGGTAAAAAACACAGCCTCTCTATTTTCTATCACCCATAGTTAAAGAAAATAAAACACATAAGCTTGAAGCTACACCATATATTTGTAAATAAAATAAATTTGACAGAACAAGATTACAAAGTACAAAACGAGCCCTTTCAGCATGTTTTAAGTACAAGAGAAGTCAAGGTTAAGTCCATTTTGTAAAGTTTCAAACAAATACCACTGAGGAATAAAAGTATTGCCATAAAACATTTTTTTTTTAAAAAAATGCTTTCTCAAAAAGCTTGATATACATCATTTTCAGATGAAAAATCCTGTATGCACACATCAGTTTGGTTACAGCTTCAGAGATCAGTGCAGCACAGTGCAAGTTTAATTCACAGATAAAAAGATATCTGAAGTGGGTACAAGAACATTCTGCAAACTATAGGATGTGATCCAACTCTTGGAAACACCCTTTCCACCCCCTAAAAAGTGCTGAAAAGTAAGCACACTTAAACACAGGGAAAAGTACACAAGGAGACAGACTCTTCAGCAAAACAAGTTAATATTTGACAGCTTAAGGAAGAGGAAACAACCACATCAGGAAGAAAATGATTGTTAGTCATTATAAAGTTATCTACATGGGAGGTTTGTACTTCAATTCTGTAGAAAAACTAAAGCTGACAGGTCTGCGTTCCTGAACTATAAATATTGAGTAAGAGAGGTACAAAAAGTAAGCACTATTAACTGAAAGTGCCTTCTGAGAATAGCCCATTTCCTCCTCTTGCAGGTCACCACCTTTCAAGAACTAAGTACATGTAACTACTTATGTCAGCTAGTCTTTCAGTACATACAATTGTTTATTGCTTATCTGGCAATTGTACAGAATCTTCCCAGTCCCCGTCTCCATCACAAAGCATTTTCCCCTTTTTATGTTTATTTTAAAGTAGATCAAATACTCTTCAGTGCTTTTTTTTAAAAAAAAAAACAAAAACAAAAACAAAAACATAAACCAAAAAAACCTTACTTTTAGAAATTGCCTGAGCTAAAAATATTAATGCAATTTTCACCTGAAGCAATGTATTGCAGAGTATGAATGCAGAGTGCCTCTCTAAAGACACTAAGTGCATCTTTAGCTACCAGAAATCTCATGGAGGGCTACAGCTTTGAAGTGCTCTGCTAATTTTTATTTTAAAATTTCAACTTGACATTTACAGCATACAGAATGGGAGACTAGTGCAATATGCAGCATTGATTGTTTATTCAATAAATATTTGACCAAATTATTGCCAAACAAGGCAAACAGTGCAGAAATTGTCACTTAAAGAGATACAAAAGTTTGGTATTTTTTGTATAAAGTCAGTTGCTACTATATTCATGCAACTATTTCAAAGAGGTTTTTCTGCTTCAAAATCGATGCTACCATTATAAAAATATAGAAACGTACTATTTGGAGTTTTAACATGTCTTTGCAAGTCTAACTTTTACATTTATATGGGAACATGACATTTCTGCATTCAAGAACTTATTAAAAGTAAAAATGAATACTATGGTAGAGACACTTTCTGCACTGACAATTTCATTATAGCTCTTAAATACATATTTCTTGGTCCTGGGTATACATTTAGAATGAAGTAACTTGCATCTCACATTTATCCTGAGGTCAGCTGTGTAAAAAGGAAAGCCAATTTTATACAGATACTTGCAGGCTTTTTGTTCAAAGTATGAGGTTATTTTTAAACAAGCCAATAAAACTCCTGGAGGAAAAAAGAAAGGAGAAAAACAAACAAACAAACAACCACAAAGAGCCCTCTCACCAAATGCTATAAGAAACAATTTAGTGTTATTTTGGGGAATTATTCCAAAAAATATATAGGCTATCACATCCAAATGCTCTATCCCCCAACCAAAAATTCATTATGCATTTGCCAGATTTGAAACTTAGAAACTGTTCTGAAAAGAAAACTTGTGAATCCCTGTGAAGAGTCACCCTAAGCTTCTCATCTCAAGATGCCAACCCACGCTGCAGCTCCCGCAGGGAGAACCCCACCGAAGCCTGTGGGCATCTGCAGAGCCTTTGGGTCTGCTTGCACGGGTGAAGACGTGTGACCTGGGTCTCCACCACCCTCCGCAGGGTACAGCTGTGACCTTGTCAAAGCTCCACTTTGAACACAGCAGTTTTTTTCAATAGCACCAACAATCTCTCAGATACCAGCATCAGGCAAATACAGATGACACAGAATAGGTTTGTTTCTTCCTGAATCAGCACAACTGGTACAAGGCACTGCTTGGCATAGGAAATCATAAATAAGAGCAAAACAAGATAATTTCCAGCTTTTGTGACATTTAAGTTTGTAAGTTATGTCACATTTCAACTTATTATATACGAGGGTTAGAACAGGTCTAAGGGATTAACCCCCATGTCACTGTTCCGTACACACTTACAGTTTTCCTCCCATATCTGAAACAAACCCATGTAGCAACATACCAATATGAAGCATTAGGAAGTATGGGTTGCTAAATTAAGTACATTTTATTCTCCAGTCTTCCACACAAGTCTAGGTTAGACACAGCTCAAGTACAAGAAGTTGGAAAATATTCCGATAACATTTTCAACAGTCTATCCCTGCAGAGGAGTGAAAAAACTATCGTCTAGAGAACTCGGAGATTGAGGCACATCACAATTGAAGATATTCAGGCGTATTTTATGGCTAGAATAGGACTTTTCTGAGGACCCTCACTACAGACTCCCCCAAAAGCAGCTCCATACGGTTTGAAAGACAAATTGCCAACACACGGAAAAAATGTTTGGTCCTTAATCACTACTGTCTTCATCATCGTCATCATCAGATACGTCATTTAAGGATGATTTCGGTGATGGGCTGTAGGAGTCCGACCTAGCAGACTGACAAGCAGTCATCTCCCCAGTGGAAAGCAGATCGTAGCAGAAGTCGCAGATTCGGACGGGCTTAGAGGACTGGCTGGGGAGAAGAAACCTCTTCTCGGAGCAAGGCCCACACACCACAAAGCCGCACTTGCGGCAGTGGTGGCGGCGGTTAACGGGCGTGAATTTCGCCTTCTGGCAGCGCATGCACACAGCGGCTTCCGAGTCCGGCACCCAGACGGCCGCGTGCTCGTTGCTGGGAGTCTTCCCGCTTTTGGAAAGCAGATCAGAAACACACTTATTTATGTGGTTCATCCACTCAGACTTCTCTGTAGCAGTGGCGGCATACACCGCAAACGACTTTGTTGGCGTCTTGATCAGCCACCCGTTCCTCAAGTCTCCCTCATCCTGGATGGAATCGATAGTGACGTTTTCCAGAGGGATTATGTGCTGTTTGTTGTATTTCTTCTTCTGAATGACGATGTTACCATAAACAAGAATGTCGTTGAACAGGAAGAACTGCCTCGCTTTGGGCTTCTTCCTACACAGCTTGGTTAGTACTCCCTCTCCGATGAGAACGCGGCCAGGAATAGTCAGAGGTTGACCAGCTGCTCCAAAACAGTTTTCCACTATACTTATTCTTCTAGTGTTTGCCTCACTGTTTGCCAAGCGATCCACCATCTTTCACAAGTATCCTAAAATTAGGGGAAAAAAATAAAAAAGATTGTTGTTAGAACAGGACTGATTCAGCAGCAGCCTTCCCCAAGGAAGCTACCAACCCCGCATTTCTTAAAATATCTAACAGAACCCGCTGGCTCAGAGGCACTGACTTGGGCTAGATTTAAGTAAGCCTTAACACGTAAGAATTTTTAGCAACTGATTAGCCTTTTTTTTTTGAAAGCAAAAACGTTCCATCCAGCTGACAGCTATCTTTATCACACAGACAGCACCTACAGGACTGCTCTTGAGAGCCTCTGGCAACAGACTAAGAGGCTTCCTCTCTAGCGAGGTTACTGCACCCCGGTTTAATGCATATTTCGTATCTATTTCTCACATATCCTCCTGCATCTACTCTCTGGATGGCGTAAGAAATTATCATCCATCATTCCAAATTCTAAGACGGACAGAAACATCAACTTAACTGAGCAGCTTGGAGACCCGTGTTACTGTTAACACAATGAAAAAAAAAATTACATAATTGATCTTCAGTTAGGAAACCACCACACACAAGCTCAGTAGTGCACTTTTTTCAGTATGTAAGCATTAAATCACAGGCCAAAGTTATGAATCCACCTACCAGAAAACATTTTGTACAGGCCACAGCTTGCACTCCCCTCTGCTTTCATGGCAAGCTCCTGAAGCAGGAGCAGGGAGCGAGTCGCAGCTCGTGGCCCATCTCCTGCTTGCCGACGCCTTCTTTTTGCGGGGACCCCCCAGCCCCTCCCTCCTCGCCTACTGGAACCACATCTGCATCCATCCCAACCAGACGACGCGGAGGCAGACCAGCACAGAGGACAAGCCACACAGCTCACAACTGCCCCCAAGAATGACTAAGTAACCTGCACCAGCTGAAACTTTAAGCAAGGAGGCTGGTGTTTCAGGAAGTGCTGATGAAATTAGGAGTACATATGTTCCAATTACAGATTAAAACCACCTCTCATCCTTCCCCAATTAGCAAATAAGATTTTCTCTTGTAAGGGTAAGATTCCTAAGGCATCCAACAGGGAACCAAAAATAAGAAGTCACTATAGTGATTCATACCTCAGCAAACCACTTTTCAGCCTATCTTTTACACCAGAGCTTCCCAGGCAGAAGTCAGGCAAAGGAAACTCCTGCCAGCCTCATCCAGATCTGCTCCCCTCAAACTCCTCCTGAGTACAGCCATGAACCTGAACCATGTGCCTGATGGAGCAGTGAGACAGCTGGCAGAGGCCGGTCCTTGGGACAGACCCGTCTCTCAGCACGCAGAAGACGTTTCCTCTGCCTTCCTCTCCAGCTACTGCAAGGCTGATGCTTATGACACCCTTTGGTATGACCACCTCTTCGAACAGGCCCTGAAGGAGAGCAGAGTAGCAAATACTCCAGTGCCTACTACCTGTGTTTCCCAACACGATCCCAGTTTGGGGAGTCCTCTGTCTTCACCTACCTTTTCTTTTACATCCACACTGCCTGCCACCAACACACCATCAGCCTGTAACAGACAAAACAAGGCTCAGATTTGATGCTGCTCAGACCCTCTCACTGCCACAACCTGATCCAGTCAATCGTCTTCCTATGAATCAAAGCTCAGATACTTCCTTTAAAAATAGGGTTGAAACTTCTTGACAGAAATTGGCGTCAGAGAAGCCTCTCATCAAGCCTCATCTAAGGAATTATGTTACCCGTGATTACATCTATCTATGTGCCCAGCATTAAGTGTAATTATCAAGTTGCTGCTGTGAGAGTTTGATTAGTTTCACATTAAAATAGTTTGACAAGTGGGATCGTTCAGATGTAACTAAATTGACCTTTTTTTAAGCTCTGCACGCATCATCTTCTGTCTTCAGTGGCAGGCTTTGATACAAGAATCTATTAAAGATATTACTCAGCACTACTTTTGAATTTTCCTTATGTGCCTTATGGGATTAGTTATAATATGTGAGTATTGTGTTAACCATTTTTATGGTTAGTCAAACTACGAGGCCACCAAATCTGAAAGTTTTGATCTGCAGAAGGCCAAACCACCTTGTAATGAGTTCAAGAGATTTAATTGTGCTGCATCAAGGCGCAGAAGCAAGTATCCCTGTGCCATTTTCACCAGGCATCAATCAAAGAATAAAAGGCTGACCTCCTCCGCTACCCTGTTCAGCAGCTCCCCGTCTGATCAGTTAGAAATTATTTTCTTAGCAGTAAGCTTAAGTCATCTTTGCTGCAAAACAAACATTTATTTTTGTTCTTCAATCGGCATAACCATCACTGCCTTCTTTATTAAGCTTTCTGAGGACTGAAATGCCACTTATCTTTAGAGAGGACTGGGAGTCCAAGTGGAAGGAAAAGGAAAACTGCGACAAAAGCCCTCTGTTATTTCCATCTCCTTCACTAGCCCTACTCTTCTGAAACATTATTCTTGTCAAGGCTTTCAAAGCTTTGTCCATTATTCCCTTTAAGAGATGCTCACAAATGGACACTACTAAACCCCTAAATCCTTCCACTACACCAAATTTAGTTGATACGGTTCTGTTTTGTTTCCTTCTGTGGCAATACCAGTTTATGCTCTCTGCCCCAATCCCTGCTCCCTTGGGCCATTACAAAAGCTACACAGTGATTAGGTCACGTCTGACCAAGCTGAGAACAAACCAGGGTGTTTTAGGGCTTGAGCTGGCAGGATAGGTGCAGTGGAGGGAGATGATGGAGCCATGGGAAGGGAGGTGCTTTGACAGTGCCCTGCACAGAAAGTACATTGCCTTAAGCTGATCAGCAGACAGATACTACAGAGGTTATTTTTCTCCCAGAGAACAGCAGACGACTCAGATTACATCAATTTTTTTTTTTTTTAATGCTGTGACTGTACAGGCATATCCAAAATATACCATTCAATAGACACCTTATATCTTTCAAGCTTTCCAAGTACCAAAACTAACTTACACACATAATGACACACAACACTGACCCTTTGCACGTTTCATTCAGCGTTAAGATCTAGTCATCTTTTTCCCCTTTTTCTTTTTTTAAATATACACCTTCCAGGTAGTTACTACTACATGGCAGCTCATGGCACTTGGGAATGATTTTTTTTGAGTGACTGGCTTCACTTTTACTACAGCCTTGTCTAGCACAGAGGTGCCACTCTGCAGACATGCTGCTGGCTTGTCCCAACTATTATTGGTCTGCTAAGGAGAAAGTACTATGGAGGGAATACAAAAGATAAACTAGGAACTTTTTGACATGTATTTGCCATAGTCCTTGGCTCAAAAATCAAATTCAGATGCCTGACTGCCAAAGGCCAGGATTCAAAATGAGGGTTAATTGCCATTAACTGCCAAATAACCATTCCCATCTAAAAACATACTAGCAATAAACAGCCTCTGCAAATGCCAAAGCTGAACGAACAGCAGCTTCAGACTTAGAAAGCAAGGGGTCAGTCACAGGGTCAATCTAAAGTTATTTAGTAACCCCATGTTCTCTGTGAAGAGTGGAAGGAAACTGGTCAGCAGAGTGCAAAGGAGACAGACCAGAAGAATACACTTCTCTGCAGGTACAAATCAATACATGCTACTTCTTACACTTGCACTTTCAGATGAATTCTCTCCAAATTACAGCAAATTAAGTGCTTTTGCTAGTCCAGAAGGGCAAATGCCCCAAAGAAAGCCCCCACAACCATACCAATGAGTTTCAGGGAAGCAAGCTCATGGTGTGAAGTTACAGCCACCCGTAGGAAGCACTCCCTGCTCCACAACTCCACTCTGCACTCCCTGCCAATAAACAGCAAACTCGGTTCAAGGTCACCACAAAAGCTTTCAAAATACAAGTCACTGGGAGGAGAAAACAGAGGGAGAAAATGTTAAAGGTTTTAATTAACTGTTCTCTAGGAGGATTTAAGAGAAAACAACTCTAACCAGGATCATTTAATCATCATCATGGCTTGAAACCAAGACAGACGATACCAGAAAAGACTGTGCTTTCAGCTTGTTGTGAAAATAATCACTTACTGGGCTTAAAGCAAGAATTTGGGGCAAGTTAAGGACTATTAAGAAAAACAAGATAATTGCCTCTCTTTGAGATTGAAACTTCCATCTATAGAATACAACAGATTCTCACCTACCAGCCTCAAATAAGGTAGAAAAAGCCACAGACTGCTCGTGGATTATATCCCACCTTTCCAAGGCATGAATTGTGTTTTCCCACACTAACGGAGTTTTAAAAATAAGCATTCTGACATTTTTCTCCTAAGTTTTTAGAGAATCAAGTAAAAATCCACCTGAAATCCTATGCACTTCTCCTTCACCTTCACAAGCCTTTTCTAAGGAAGGAAGGAAGTTCTGAAATGGATAATGAGAAACTACCTAGAAGGTATCATGATTACAAATAATAATGAAACTGAAAAAAAAATAGACCAGGAATACAAAAAAAGAAAGCATCCTGAAGTCACAAGAGCTGAAGTTAAAGGGGTGCACCTCTATTTCTCATGAGCACACAGCCCAAGGAGATGTTAAATTAAAATACTGTCTGGACACATAAAGGAACTTTTAACCACAAGATGTCACAGTCCCAAAGCTGTGCAAGGTTATCCATTACCAGCCTTTTGAAATTACAACAATCTTTTCTAAAAACATTCAGATACACTGTAAAAGGTAACAGATAATACTCCTGGAACTGGGTGGCAATATCCTTCTCTCTGCCAGCTACAACTGGTTTCTGGCATTTCTACTGTTGGGCACTATAAGAAGCAGGTACTGAATTACTGTCCTAAAGATGCAGGATCTCAAGACCTGATCAAACAAAGCAATTCCCAAGTGATGGTAAATTGCTTAAAAATGCCCCGAATCTTCCCCAAAGTAACTGAGGAATATAACAGAATCAGACTCCAAAACAACAGGCTAGATAGCCCCATTTAAGGGGAGAGTAGAAGCATTTTATAGTCTCAGTTTACAGATGCTATGAAGTCAAAAACCTCAGCAGACTCAGTTCAGATGTCTGTCACA